TAACGACTTTTGACTGTATAAGTAAAATTACCTGCATGTTCTTGGTGGTCATTCTATCATCTGCAATATCCAACAAAACAAATTTAACATTTGTAACAAAAATGACCACCACCCACTAATTTCAAGACACAAACCAAAATGCATGATCTATTATTAGGCATGTGGTATTGATTCTGCCCTTTTGTAATACCCACAGAAGTACTTTTTTTGTTTATTTACCACTGTTATATTTGGGATTACAACACCTTCACAACTAATATTTTGCATATAGTATAGAAAGACATACATATCATGAACCCACTTACCTGGATATTCTTAAAGAGAAAAAAAGGGAAACTTGAAATATTATACATACGTTCTCTATTGGGAACACTCTGGAGGCTTCTAGACAAAAAGTTTCTTGCTTCTTTTTGCTTTCCAATCTTCATATAATAGGTCATAAATTTTATCCACACTTCTTTGTCATTTTTTAATTTCTTTAATATAACATTTGAAAGTTTCTTTAAATCCTAAAAAATAAAAGACAGCTTATGCAAATTTGTGCTTAGTTATAAAAAGAGAAATAAAAAAGTAACATAAAATTTGTTGCATAGTAAGAAACTAAGAGGTACATACATAAAAATATATATATTTTTTTTCTGATTATAGTTATCTCCTGATCATTTAACATATATTTTATGTTAGCCTACAAATTTTTTGATTCTCGCAGAGGAGAATGTTTTAGGTTGTGCCAGAAGCCATGAATATACTATCACTTTGCAAATATCTTTTTGTATGAAAAACTCAGATGTTTCCACTCCATTCAGCCTTTGGAGGTTATACTTATGGATTCACATTTCATCTGCAGTGATCCTCTCCAGAATATTGGACATGCAAATACTGCTATTTCTAGCAGTCAGATGCTATGACACCAACTAGTGCACATTTTATGATATTTCAGATCATCATGTATTACTGAGGTCTGCTTACTTTATTACTGTCTTCTTTACCCATCTAAAAAGCCAGGCCTTTTACATGCATTCATCAATTGCAGTAGTTGCACATCATTTGTATAATTCAGTACTATATATTTTTTATAATTTCCTAATCATTAAAATGATATCTAGCTCATTAAAGAAAATATGAAAGTAAAATATTTTAAATGACAAAGCAATGTATAATCGCACGATGGGATAAGTGGTCATGCTACTCAAAAGGTTAATCAGCATATTGATACAATAAAGATTCTTTTCTGTGGAGAAATCATTGATAGGCTAGAGAGAGAATTTTCAGGTGTATTTGTTCTACTAGTTTGTCATTCTCAAATGTAAAAACATCCTATAAGGAATTTAGAAGACTGCACACCCACAGTCCATAAAAATATTACTATAATTTTCCATTTGGACATAGAGGATTTAGGCTAATGAGTGCTCATGTTAATGGCCTTATAAATACTAAGCAACTGAGGCTAAAAGATTATTGATTGCACCAACAACTTGTCAGGTCAAAAACCCTTTTCTTTTACTTCCTTGTGTGAAATAAAGAATTTTTGTAATCATGAAAAATTTCTGTTTTCAGATTTCAATAGAAATATCCATTTTGACTATTTTGTGTGTGATGTTTAATCAGTTGTAAAATAGATTTTTTTTTTTTTTTTTTTTTTTTTTTGTGCCTGCATGTACATAACTCGAATAACTGAAAAATGATTAGCTGTGGAATGCTGAAATTTTGTTTTGGGACTGCTATAACATATAGTTGCAGACCTCTCTTTTTTTATTGTAATCAGTAGTATCAAAAATATATATTCTGGTTGTAAAGAAAGTTTTCTGCCAAAAAACGTTTCTAATAAAGTTAGGGGGAAAAAACATGAAAGCAGTACTTTTAGTGTGGGAAGTAATCACCACCCAAATCTATGATTTTTTGCTAACGTTTTGATAGTTTTTCAAAGCCTTCTTGGTGAAACCTGCTGGCCGCGAGTCCAAAAACAGATCAACCACATTTTCGAGGTCCTGTGAAGGATGAAAGATAGTACCAGCAAGATGTGGCTGCAGGTGTGAAAAAAGGTAGAATTCTGGAGAAGCGATGTTGGGGCTATATGGTGGTGTAGCAAAAGATCTCATTCGAGTATGTACTAAGTCCAGCTGGTGAATGCAGACACGTTACCTTGCGTTATCTTGATGGAACATTACCTTTTTGCGGCGGAACTCAGTTTGAGATTTTCTGTTGATAGCAGCGTCAACACGGACTAGCATTTTGCTGTACACCTTACTGTCAAAGGTTCTACCTTTTTTCAGATACTCTTTGTGGATAATACCATGGCAATCGCACCAGATACAAAGCATGATCTTTTTGTTAGTCAAATTGCACTTTCTAACAGTGTCAGAGGACTCACTAGGTGCAGACCAACCCATTTTTTCGGCCTGCGTTGTTTGTAGTAAATCCCCTTTTCATCGCAAGTGATGAATGACCTGGTCCAGAATTTTGTGCTTGCATTGGTATTAGTGCAGGCCCGAACACGCCTGTTGAAATAAATCTACTTTTCATCACAAGTGACAACTCAGTCCAGAATTTTGTCCTTGTTGATATTTGAGCAGATTAGTACATGTCTGAACACGTTTGTCAGTATCTGCTTTAGTCAGCTCATGTGGCACCCAGCAACTGAGCTTGTATGTCATGCTTATGTGATGCATAGCACGACTAACATGGCACTAACATCTACCTCTTTAGCAAGCTCTCAAGTGGTTGCATACTGATTTTCTTCTACACATTCTCACAGGAGGGCCTCATCAACACCAGTACGTTGGCAAGAGCACTCTTCTTCTTGAATGTCATAGTCTCTGTTTTTTTTTAACTTTCCGTACCAAACCTTCAGTGTCATATGATATAACATTCATACCTAAAGGTGTACACATGATTTGGTGACATTCTGTAGACTTTTTCCAACAAAACTTGAAGTAAATGATGGTTCTAATCTGCTAGCATATTTCCATTTCAGACACCTTGTACTTAACCACATTTATTATTTTTTTTTTTTTTTTTTTTTTTTTACAAATTTCACAACACAGTGTTCTAAAGCAAGTCTCTTTCTTTCAAATGCCAAAAATCATTTGACAAAATATGACTAAACATGCCAATGGAAACTGTTTGTGCAGACAATATTTGCGGTGCAGGAAACTTTTGTTAAATCCAATATTTCATAATTTTGTAATAATGGCATGAAATGACTTCTAGAGAAACAAACACAAATCTTTCTTCAAGAATATTCAAAATTGGGCAAAATATTTTAATTTCTTAGGGAAAAATGAACTCTGTCAAATTATTTTGAAATACATAGAACACCTTTCTAAATGAATACTATGTTTCAAATTTGAAATTAGAATAAATAAATTTAGGCTGAAATGATATTCTCTGAAATTGAAGCCAATTAAGGTAAGTTGAATATTAACTAATCTTAAAACATTATATATATATATATATATATATTTGCTACATATATTTATATAAAAATATATAAGAATAGCGGCTATATTGAATATATAAAAATATATTAAGTCAGAGCCGTAGCTACGGTTTTTAGTGCCCGGGGACAATGCAGATTTTGCGCCCCTTTCCTGTGCACAAAGAATGGAAAACATTTAATTCTAAATTTTGTAACATCAATTTGGTGCCCTCTGAATGCTGTGCCTGGGAACAGATGTCTCCCTTGCCTCCCACCTAGCTATGCCACTGTTTAAAGTAAAATTATTTGAAATTTACATACCTCTGTCTTTTCGAAACTGATGTAAGCATCCAGCATATGATTATATATCACTCCTTGATCATTATACACCAAAGCTTCTTTTAAAACATTGTCTACAGATTCATCAGTGCCATAATGTAGTTCAAGATTCAGCAAAGCTTTCCAAATATTTAGTTTTTCTTTGTCCTCTCTACATATCATGGATACAAGAGAGCAAAAAATAAAAGTTTAAACAAAAATTAATACAAAGTTATTCTAAATTACATGACCAAAGAAAAGAAAATGAAGTTATTACACCTGTTATAAAATATTCCCAATATGTAAGCTCATAATAGTTAAGTATTCATACCAAATTACAAAAGCATTTTTATTAAAAAAAAATCAGCTTCTATAATTAAGAAACAGAAAGTCTTGCAATTTTAAGCATTTATCATTTGTAACTTTCAATATAAAATATCTACAGCTATTATAAAACATTTCTAATGCATAGAGCAATTAAGTACTTTAGAACACTTCTGATTAAAAAACAGATAATATGTTTAAAAGAATGTTTGCAGTATTGTACATCTTGTTATTTTCTAGTGATTTATTATCAAGAACATTTTATTAAATTCTCTCCAACAAGCCCATACTAAGGACTGAGTGGTAAAATCATTGAATACTGGTAGTTTGATAAAGAATAAAATCTTGGCAAATGGAGTAGCTACATGGAAGTTGTTGTGGCTTTGCTCACATATAGCATGAATATGACCACTTTCTCTAAAAAATTCTCCCATGATGGCATTCCTTCAAAGGTACCAAATTGTGCAATTTTTGCAAATACGCTACTTTGGACAAACATCTGCTATACTAAAATTTATGCCTATGCGATTTTGCAAATTTTCAGTACTTTGTAATTTCCTTATACTACTTTTTGTTACTTGACAAAGGTCTCATTATATCATAAAATTCATATATGTTAATATAATTTATATACTGTATTTGTTCACATACTTCTCTTCCTTATATATTTTATTCCCTAGTTTTTCCAGCATTTAATGTAGAAACTCTGATTTACGGTAACAATGTACAATATATGCACAAATAGGAAAGTATTTCACATAAGTAAAAAGAATATTGTTGAAATGGATAGGTCTTTTGAAATACCGAGTGGCCATAATTAAACTGACAGTGCTCACAGTGTTCTGTAGCGCAATCTATTTGCGAGAATGACGCCACATTTTGTAGGAAGATTAAACAAGACGGGGGACGAAGGATTCCGCGAAAAAAAAAAATAGTTCCAAGTCACCGCTACGGAAATATTTGGGCTGTGTAATAAAATAGTGTTTTAACAAATGCAAATTAATACGAATAAAATTTACCGTAGGTCCATTCTTCTATGAGAACATTACCCCGAAGGCAAAGTTCTGTTACAATGCCTGGGGGAAATCATTTTTATGCAAAATGGAGTCCCTCCACACGTTGCTGTACGGGTGCAACAGATGATACGACAGAAATTCAAAACAGAAAGAGACATTAGCCGCTACTTTGCAACTACATGACCACCTCAGTCGCCTGATCTTGCCCCATGCGACTTCTGGCTATGGGGTGACCTTAAGTCTATCAAGGTCTATCAAGAAGTGGTCCAGGACCAGACTACGTTGAAGGATAACATATAACGGACTGTACGGGAGATTCCTGCAGACACGTTAGTTTCTGCTGTTGCGCATACTGTGCACAGAATGCAATATGTGGTCCACAACAACGCACCCCCCATTGTAACTCATTTGAAGCAAAATAAAAGGTAATTTCCGTATTGATTTGCATTTGTTTAACACTCCTTTTCTTTACACAGCGCAAGTATTCCCTTAGCGGACTTTTGGAACTAATTTTTTTCGCGGAATCCTTCATCTCCCGTCTTGTTTAATCTTCCTCAAATGTGCTCATTCTCGAAAATAGTCGTGCTACAGAACTGTGAGCACTGTCAGTTTAATTCTAGCCACCCCTAATATAATACAGTCAAAAGTCGTTAATCTAGACCGTCGGGACTTCGGCAATTCCGGATTATCGATTTTTCCGGATTATGATCTCAGTTTAAATCGCGTAGGATGGCCATGCAGAAATTCTAAAATTAAAATATGAAACCGTAATTTATGAATAAGGAACATTATGATCTAAAGGGTATCAAATTTACAAAAAAAAGCTTAATATTTATTTGTTTACTTATTAAACATTTCTTTCAATGTAAGTTGTTTCGTTTTTATGTGATAATACTTTTCTCTTTAATTCTATAAACAGACATAATTTTTTGTTCACTTACAAAGTTCCGCTGTTCAAGTCCCGTTAATTGCTGTGCCGAGAAAACCGACTAACTTGCCAATCGAAATTTTTTTCGTTTTCACTAACCTCTGTCACATTCTTCATGTCTTATTCCATTTTTTGCAGCAATTCCTCTTTTTGTTTGAAGGACATCGAAACATCTTTCTTTTTGTACGATCCTTGGGATCTCCAAAATCAAAATTCTATTTGACATAATCGAAAGTTAAAGTTTACTTTTTTAGTATTGCTCTTACATCTGCAAAAAATATAGCCGGATCCAATTCGAAAATTAAGGAACAATGCATCATCAACATTAACTGAAATAGATATTATGAATTTTAGCTTACCGTCGTTTAATAACATAAACCGCACGTGAAAACGTATTCTGCGCTTGTGCACATGCAAATGCGCAGACGTAAGAGGTCTTACGCGCACGCGTAAACGCCTATGCGCATGTGTCAACGCGGAGCATGCGCAGAAAGTTTTTAGCTTTGAGGTCCGGATTATAGATCATTCCGAATTACGGGTGTCCGAATTAACGACTTTTGACTGTATTAGTGTACAGTCAAACACCGAAAATCCGCCGACCTGAAATCCATGTTGCCTCACAAAATATAAACATTCAGTTTATAGGTTCCGGAAAACACAACATTGAGTACAAATATCGAAGAAAAAATACTTACTGATGATGACCTAATAATTATGAATATAATGGTCTAACGGAAATACCAAATTATTGACATCATGATAAAGTTTTCTCTCCCCTCTATCTGCACAAGGTAAAAAAGCAGACGATTCACTCAACTCTCTTCCAGTTCACGATCACGTTGTATTTTCTGAGCTTTGTTATTTCACGAGATTATTTAGTGCTGCCTTTTTCTTTTAATCCGGATATTTTGTGGATATTAAAAATATTTTAAATTTCAGCCCTTTTTAATACAATAACAGATAAGAAACACACTCATGATTATACTACTTGCAGTGTTGAAAATCATAAACACATTGCGTTGACGGTAATGCAAAAAGTGCAAATTCTGCAAAAGATGGAGGCAGGTGCTACTCCTTGGTTTAGAGCAGAATCATATGGAATCGCAATACGATTGTGTATGATACACGGAAAAATAAAGAAAAGTTGTTGAAATTTTACGGCAACAGTGATTCTAACATCGGAATCCGAAACTGGAAATCTTTACATGAGGCGAAATTGGCAAACCTCAATGCTCTGTATATATAATACAATGAATAATATAATCAATTTATATGTGTAATAATAATTTAATGCATATAATAAGTTATTGAAATAATGTATATAATAATTTAATTAAATGTATCTAATACGCCTTACTTATTTTGCACTTTTAGTCTGAATATTATGATTTATCTTTTCTGTCCCGAAATCCGCACAACCTCTGGTCCCAAGCTTTGCAGATTTCTGGACTTCTACTGTATTGCTGTTGAACTGAACTTTATGATTTAAGTGGGAAGAACATGATATTTAATAAATAAAGGTAACAAACGTGGGAAAAAAAATGCCCCATTGCTTTTGTTGCAAATCGTACAGAAACTTCAAATTAAACCTACTACATTCAGCCATTGTACCATCTAAACAATGAAGCAAGCAATATACTTCCTAAGCAACACACACCACTAAAAGCCCTTGCAATACATCCCACAATTCAAAATTTCCCGGAATAATGCAAACGATTATGTCATAATAAGTTTTTCGTAACATTCAATTACTCAGGTTACCATAAATGATACAACTTGGCGATAAACGAAACAACTTTACAGTAAATGAAACAACAACTTCACCATAATACAAAGAGTATCTTAAAGTCTACTCTAACTGAAAAAGCAAAATATGACTATATAAAAACATCCATTCCAATACTATGACAGATTAGAAGGCTTACTAATGAAGGAAAAGAACAACTTATCGACATATCAACAAATTCAACTTTAAATTTAAGCAACAGCAACCCCTAAATTTTTAGTTGTATATTCATGCAGAATACCTAGAAGTTTCTCATACAGTCATAAACATTTTAACCCTCTCAGCATTATGGACGTAAAGTTCCATATAGAAGGGTGGCTATCTTATTCATTACACATGTAAATTTCTGCCAGCTTTTAATGTATCTGATTTCGGCTTCGATGTATATTGGAAGAAAAAGAATTAAAGTATAAAGTGAGAGTCCTCTTTTAATCATAACCGAGAAAATGCCATTTATTCATGACATTTTGTAGGAACTTTGAAATTTCAGGGCAAAACCTATAACACTCTGTTTCTGACATTTTGAACAGTGCATTTAAATGAAAAATATTTCTTAATGCATGTGACAACCAAAACAAAATACAGAAACAAATTAAATATAGAAAATGCAATTTGACTGCAGATAGCAATACTAGAGTTTCGATTTCGACAGTCTATGTAAAAAAAAAAAAAAAAAATACCAGCATGTGTCTATCACTAGAAAATAATGAAAGGGTAGGTGACATCTGGAGCACAATTTAACTCTTTGAAATCCAAGCCTTCGCTAACCTATATCCTTAAAATACCGAATCACCCGAAATACTTTTCCAATTTCACAGCAATTTCCTACCTCCCCGTCCATTAAAGCAAAAATAGGTGTGAAGATTTCGAATGACATCTTTTCTACTTTCTAACAAAGATTCCATTAGCCATTCTTTATAAACCCATTCTGAAGGTCAGATGAACAAGCCTCTCTGACTTTGTTATGATCACTACTGAGATTTTGTTTACTTCTATTATTTTTATACAAAGGAATAAATTTATTAAAAATAAATATAATCCTTAAAAGCATACTGTACCAAAAAAGAATCAACAATGAAATGTCATGCACAATCTAAAGATAAGAAACCACAAATAAA